ATCAGGCCTGATAAAAATAATTGAGATACAAAAAATTTAATCAATTTTCAATTGGGCAACTATACGTGCGTAAAAGTATTTAACACTAGATTAGTTTTTGCATTTAATGCCTTAATTGAATGTATGATTAACATGTCAGGTGTGGCCCATACCGGGCCTCTAGACATGTAATATACTATTAATACTATAAATAACTAGTTTGTCAACTGGAAAAAAATCACCTTTATCAAATTACACGGCATCATAACTGCATACAAAAAGCTAAACATAACAAAACCACAAAATATTTTCACAACCAATTAAACAAGGTGAAAAAACGTACCGGTAGATGTGGCCGGGTTGTTGACACCGCCAAACTGGCCGTTGACGGTCTGCATGGCGTGCACCTGAGCGGCCGATGGGCACGACTGGCGCGAGTAGCCGCCCAAACCGATGGGGTCGTAGCCACGGCCCGGTCCGGGCGGTAACATACATGAGTAGGAGCTGGCGGCTGCCGCTGCGGCCGCCTGTTGCTGGAGACACGAGTTGGAGGCCATGTTGTTGGCCATCGAGTACGAGGCCATTCCCATTGAACTGATCATGGTGAAAATATAAAAACATTAATATAATCACTAATTGTAATAATGGTTAAAATCTAAAATATTATAAACATTTTATAACATTATAAATGAATATATTTATTCTTTATTTAGAAATTATGTAGAATATTCTTAATTAATCATTAATTTCACGGAATATTCTGTTTAAATAATAAGCAAACAATGGTATATACCTGTAGGTATCGGCCATAGAGGCCATGGGCTGCGGTATAGAGGGGTATAGACCGTTGCCGAAGCCCGAGTTGATGGGTATGCGGGCGGAGGGCGGGGCAGAGGGGGCCGGCGGTGCGCTGTGATGGTGAACGACGGACGCCTGTTCGGCCGCCCGGCGCTGATTGCGGAGCTTCTCCTCGCGCCGCCATTTGGCCCGACGATTGCTGAACCAAACCTGCATAATATGATCGTAGGCCTGAATAATTAACACATAATATAATACATTCATGTGTGTAGATTTGATGATCAAAAGTACGGGTGGGTTGTAA